TTCAAAAAATAAAAAGTTTAACTAAGAAAAATATTGGATGAAGCAAAATGATTCCAAATAGTGATTTATCATAGACAAATTGAGCTGAAAACCATTTGGATTAATCAAAGACAATTACCATCACCAAAGATCGAACAAAATCAAAATTATCTTTTTATTTAAATATTAACAGAATTTTTGATTAATTCCATATTCTAACATAAATTGTGTTACAAAGTGAGATCTGTAGGATGAAGTTTTTTAATAGTACAGTCTAAAGTGAAGTTTTTCAGAATTTATTCGCATTAAATATAAAAAATTCTTAAATACTAGGTTTTTGTTTAAATCAGTTAATGAATACAAGTTTTTTCGGTTATTTTTTTTTGAATTTTGCTTTGATGAACGTGATTTATTATTTATTTCGTTAAAAATCATAGAAAACTTGATCATAATTTTTAGTTTCGAAATCGAGACTAAAACTGGTTCCATACATCGCTAGTCGTAGTTGAAATGTGTCACATCATAGATGTGTTATAGTCTAGTATAATGGCCAAGCATTTATTCAGTATTTTGTTTTGCAGATTCAGTTGGAAAAAAGATTTTAGTATATCTTTTCTCAAGAACATATAAAGAGACTACTAGGTGATCAAGACTTAAACTTCCTGTGGACACGGAATATAATCACATACAACCTAGAAAGACTTTTTGTGTATATCAGCCACGTAATCAATGTACTACCGGAGGGATGATTCAAGACAAACAGCTATTCGTAACTTATTCAGAGTCATTCTATGTTTGATAACATCGAGATTCGAACAAATCACCCTGTGAATATCTGTCAAACAACTTAGCTATACAAACATAACGACTCTGCAACTAGATCGTACCGTCTTGAATTTCATGAGTAGATGTTATCAAAAAAAAAATCCTTCCTTGGATAGAAGATATGACAAATGCAATGAAAGGTACATTCGAATCTAGAGACCTGTGCGACAGTGTAGGATAAAACAGGTATCCAGAATTTCATTTATCTCCATATCAAACATATGATACAGTTTAAATTTTTTATCTCGAACAAATATCTTATTTTTAAAAAAAGTAGTAAACGAAGAAATAATTAGAAAAGATATTCCAGTGTCTCCTTCCACAGAACGATATCTTTATGTTTGTGCCAATCAATAGAATTCAAGACTATTGTTAAATGGGATTGAAAACGCGAATTACGTGTTCAGAATATGTCGAAATTAAGACACATATTATCTTGGTGTTTTAAATACAGCATATGATTTGATATCTGATCAGTTTATATCTGTTCGATGAATTTTTATTATAACAAGAAAAATCTAAATCAGAAGCCTTTGTGATATTATTTATTTATTTTCTGATGTTATCTGTGTTCTATCCATATTTTGACATAATTGATTTGTAATATTCTTAACTATAGATTCTGATCTAATTTCTCTTTGTTGGTTTGAATATGATGAATTAATTTGACATTGTTCTTGTTGATTATTATCATCATCATTAAATGGAGATGCAACTAAAGGAAAAGGAGGTATAATTTCCTTTAAATGGATAATTGTAAGATCTCTTGCTGGTTGTATTTTATCTATCACTTTAAGATAAGTTCCTGGAGGAAGAATAATTTCATCTTCTTCTTTAAAATAAGCATGTTCACGAATAAATTTGGCATTTATTGCTTCAATTGAAAATATTGTTCTTGTACCTGTTTGACCAATAAATTGTTCAATAACACTAACAGATATAGCACAAGAACTAACACCCCACCAGATTATATCTTGATCTTTATTATATTGATTACTTAAATCAGCTTTTACACCACGCCATATTGTTTTATGGCATGAAGGTAATTTAAATAAAGCAGTTAAAAATAATTTTAAATAAGAAAACCATGGTATAATAACTTGTCGATTAACTCCACGTAATGCTCGATTAAGATGAATATATAAACTATCATCAATATTAGGCCATTGCATTGAATAAAGATGAATTGCAGCTGATTCATCAGATGTTAAACTATCTTTTGGTGTACGTGTATTTTGTTTAGCTATAAAAACATATCGATGAATATCATCATTAAATAAATCTACTAATAATTCAATAGATTTTTCAAGTGATACAATTGGTTCAGTTTCATAACCTTCAAGTGGCATAAGCATTTGTTTTGTACCAATAAGATCATATGATGAAGTAAAACGATGACCATTTTGTTCATTATCAAAATCTGTATTATAAAGAGATGAAATTTCATTATTTAATTGATTCAGTTTTGAGAATGTTGTTTCGTCTTGATTAGTTATAGATTGTTTTTCTATAGTTCGAAATTGATGACGATTACGAAATATAATTGGTAATGTTCGACCTTCAAGATCTAAACATGAAGAATTTTCTTAAAATTTTATTTTAGTTTTTTTTTTCAATATTACCAGGAAATACAGTTGGTGTCGTTTTAAAAATATTCATTTGTATATAATTAATTAATTTATTCATTGTATTATTTACTGGTTTATCTGATAAATCTCGAAAATCATACCACAATAAACCAGCAGAGATAATACCAAGCCATCCAGAAGGTTTGAAATCTACACGACATCGACAGGGTATTAATGGGATTTCTAATTTTTCAGCATATTCTAATTCTTTTCTACAGCTTTTTGAACTTTGATATTCTGGTGTCATGAAGAAACAAACAGCCGCACTATTTTCTACAGCTTCAGCCATTCTTAATAAAAGATTTTGGGATTGTATAATTTCATTTTTAATTTACTTACCCATCATTAATATTTCCGCCAAGTCCATTTCGAATATCCATCCAAATTGGAATGTTTTCATTCTTTAATTGTTCAGCTACTTCATAAGCAAGATCTTGTGTTCCTGTCCAAGCATAAGATACCATTATGTGTTTTGGTTTTGTACTAGAGGGGAAAGTCGTAGTCATAGTGCGTAAGAAAAGAATCGATGATGGATGACTAAAAAAGACATACGTTTTATTATTATCGTTTTTGTTATAATAAATCTTTTCGACTAGAAATACGATAGTCAGTAAGTGAATAGTTAAGAACCTTAAGTTGGTTCGGGTACAAGTTGTTTTTAAGACATTATACTAAAATTTTTACGATGTGCACCTCAAACAGTGGTTTTGATTACTTAAAAGTTTTAGCTCGCAAAGATCAAAATAGTATTTTAAAATATTTTTCCTAATGTTATAGTGTTCGGTGTTTCATTACTTGATAATAGAAAACCTATTTAAGCTTATCTTATCATTCTCTGTTTACGTGGAAATATATTATAAAAAAATAGAGAAAGATTATTTTTCATTTATTTATTATGATGTATCTGTGACGATGTAGGAATTAGATGAAAGAAAGTAAAGTTTCTGATCGAGAATGTGAGAAGAAAGATCGTCTAATTTGTCATAATGTAAAAGCAGTCAATGAGTAAAGTAAATTGGATCATACGGTTACTTTGCATTTGAACATCTGAGAAGCTTTCAAACAGAAGGAAATGACTTAGAAACACAATATATGAAAAGATGAAATAGGCAAGTCTATAGGAAATGCTTAGGATTGATCTCACGATTTAGATGAAGAAGAAAACACAAGGGAAAATCAGTAGACGACTCAACTTTTCAATAAAACAGATCATTAGTATATGAAAATATTTGATAGGTATTCTAGAAGCATAGATTCAATTTTCTTTTCTTCATCGAAACAGTCACATTAAATTATTATCTTTTTACATGACTCTACGAGAACGTACTTTATACTTGTTTATCACAGAATGTCAGACAATATTTTTTCTCAAAGAAAAGCACATTGGACAGGAACAAAGATTAGCAGCGCACATATCAATATATGTAAATATTTGCTCTCAAATATTAACTATTTGTCTTTGCTCTCGAACATTTTATATGATAAAAACCGTCTGTTTTATTCAACTATGAGGATAATATATTTACCTTTACTGAATAATTGTGCGTTTGATGAAAATGAAGCATTGAGTTAGTTCTGTTTTTAATTTACATTAGATCTTGATTGGATGAAAAGAACGAAAAAAGAATCAGTATTTACCTCGTATTCAATGTTTTTCTTTTTTATGTTGTATTAACACAACGACATATAGTCTTGGACAGTCTATGAATAATATTGATATACTCTATAATAGCCAGTTATCTTTAATTGATATGCCATTATCTTTAGTTTTTTATTCTTTCTCTTCATATAATAATTAAAATAAATTCAAGATTTTGTCGATATAATTGTTAAAACTTTATATTAATTGTGTTTGCCGTTCTTAAAACTTATTTAAAGTGCATACACTTAAATCAATCATTCATAATCGAATTCAAAAAAAAAATGATTTATTAACAATAACTACTGTGAACACTTATCAAAAAAAAATTATCTATTCAAGAAATATTTGAAGATAACTTTTGTCATACTATCACATTCGAGCTAATAAGACTCATCGGTAGATCTTACTATATTTTAGCACAAAACTTTCTAGAAAAACATGTTTTTCCTTCTCTTTGAGCAGGAGGTTACATAAAATGTGTCGTCTGCTCTAGTTTCGCTATTTTTTGTCATGTTTGCTGAATAGCATGATGCTTCTTGGTAAAACAATCAGGACAAAGAGAAATATCACAATCATAAGAGAAGGTTTTTTATTTCCTTTGCTGTCGCATGGGTTGCTTCTCTTGATTATTTTTCTTTGACTTTTCTTATAGTAACTAGCACGGGATCTTCGGACGATGCACCCACGCCCTTCATTTTCTTCAAGCCTGTGATCAACGAACTTACGCTTCGAACAACTTTTTGATTGTGATCTCGAATCCAATCACAGCTTCTTGAATGGCATATCAAGAAATAAAGAACGCATAGGACTTTCACGAGATTATGGAATGGTCATGTCGTTTTTGGCATACTTTTCGTTGTAAATTCCATAACCATTAACTATTTCTGTTCCAAATATCAATTCAAATGTCATTTTTTTTAATATCATTTTATAGATCGTCTGAGACATGTAATCTTTGTGATATTGATCTTATGAGGTTCTATAAATCTCATTTGTTCGTCAATATTGATCTCGACAATAAAATGAAATATGTTTTATCTCTTCTTTTCCTAATAACTCATATCGAAACGATGTTCTCTGAATAAGTTTACATCATTGAAAAAATTTTCGAAGAAAAATCTGTCAATATTCAAAACGCTAATTTGACATTGCCAAGAATCTCAATATATGAACATGCGTTTATGAAGTAGAAGTAAATATACTCAGATTTTCAATTTTTGTTATATAGAAATGCAAAAGTTAAAACCATGATGAATAATCACAAATATGACGAGGGTCTTGATAAATGGTCAAAGGTACATCATCATGTTTGACTAAAATCCACGCATTATACGTAGATCCTTTCTGATGAACAGATGAACAATTAATCCCAAAGTCTCTTTCAATTCTATACACAAACTAACGTACTATATTGACGCAAGAAAAAAAACGACTATAGTGTCAGTTACTTTTTTTAAAGGAAAAAAAATATTTTTTTTTTATTAGGTTGATGCGTACACATTCATAGGCTCTCTATTCTTGATTCCTTTTACTATTTAATAACGCATATAATGACTCATTCATGAAAGAAAAATCAATGAAAAATACTCTTCGATCATCGTGGTCGTGCAAAAAAAGTAAAGAAATATTTCAAATCTTGATTCGAATGTCTGTTTAGTATTGTTTATGTGAATGCTTATGATTCTCGAAAAAGGAGAAAGAAATAAAAATAAGAAAAAAACCAACCATGTTAGAGGGTAAATAACATATGTGTCATGTATTGCATCGTTATTTCAATACAAACGCCAGTGTAAGGGTGTAGGTGTGGGTGTCTGATTGAAATACACCCACACCCACCCTCAAATTTAAATCAGCTTTTTATTCCGAAAAAAGAACTTGGTTATTAGCTATTGCAATTGTTATGTTATTCTTGATTAAAGAAAACGTTCACGAATCACTGATTCATTGAATACATTAGTAGTTCATGATGTTGATTATTTCTTAGGATGAGAAAATTTTGCTCGATGAGCAGCGTCAGAATTATGGCATTTTGCTCCCCATTTGCATGAAGTTTTATCACTGTCTGGTTGATGTGGTTTCTTATCTGAAGGATGTGAAAATTTTGTTCGATGCGCAGTATTGTGGTCGTGACAACTAACTCCCCATTTGCACGGTGTTCGTTCATCATGATCATCGTCTTCTTCATGTTTGCTTGCCACTACAAATAGAGGAGTTCTCAAGTAAATAGTCTTTCAGATTTGGTCATGATCGCTTACCTGCTGAGGCTGATGTTGGTAATTTTCCGAAGACTTGTTCACCATGAGAATATTTCTTTCTGTGAGAGGATGATTTATCTGGACATTCCTTTTGTCGACGACATGGAATAAGAAAATCAGGTCGACCTGTGTGTCGATAGGAAGCTCGATGAAAAGGATCATCTAATTTATCGCATGCTTCATCATTCCGACATTTCGGAACTGTATGTAGTTCATGAGTGTGAGTGAGATGCGATTGTTTCTCGCGACACAGTTCTGAATAAGGACATGGGTGAGAGTATTTGGCATTATGATCATTTGCGTCTTCTGAATATTGTTTCAGACAATTGACATTATTTGGACAAGGCTTCAACGATGTATCATCATCTCCAACGAATAAGTTCTTAACTCTAGTTAAAATACTTGGCTCTTTTGATGGTTTATTATCAGCTGCGCTTGATGACGCACCCTGATGAACATCATGCCGTTTATGATTGTTGGCATCAGAGTGTGCATTGCTAGATTTATTTTCATTTGCAGAAGAAGTATCTTTCTTGTAATCTTTATCGAATGTTGGATGCATACTAGATTTTTTCTCGAAACCGATGATCAAATTTCGAATAGATACTGAGTGCGTACCAGCACTGACATGAATAAATTCCATTCTGCTTAAATCGAGTTCTGATCTACTAAATGTACACGATATTTCCTCATGATTATAGATTCCATTGGGGCCGGCATGTGAAAGAACAACTTTTCCTGTTGAACGATGAATTTGTAAACAATATGTCATAAAATCGCTGCTATTACATCCAAGATAGAAAGTATTTGATTTGGCTTTGTATGATTTCCTGTTCATAATCATGTCATGCTGAAATGGATGTGCAGCAGCTAAGTAGGAAGTGTGTTCATGATAATCATCATCACTTGCTGTAGGTTTTGGAGCGACATAACAGATTAAACAGCGAAGATTTGGTTGCTTCTCATTGGGATCGATTTCTTCATTGGATAAAGTCAACATCAGATCTCCATTCATGGCTTTCCAATAGATATAAGTTATATTGTCTTTTGATACATGATGATTTTCAATACGATATTGTGTATATGCTTGAGAAATGGTCAGAGGTAAAACATAGTGATCATCAAAGCTTGATGAGGGTATGGTGATAACTACACCTTGAATAGGGTTCAACAATGAACGAGCAGTATGTTCCTTGTACTGGTCAATTAATTCTTTAACTACAAAATTTTGATAATCCACTCGTGATTTCAAATTGGGAGTTGGTCCAAATGGTCCTTTTTCATGATTGGCTTCACCATCGTGTGATACAAGGGTGATACGATGTTTGAAAACAGCATCGATTGCTTTAAGTGCATTCTCATTGAGAGCACTAAACAGATTTTTTGGTATATAAATATGATCAATGTAATCAAGTGGAATAAGTTGAGGTAAATGTGCTTCAATGTTCTGATGTGAATCAGTTTTGACCCATTGGTCAAGAAGTTCTTGAAGAGTAATATCCATCGTCTTTGATTTTCTACGAAGACTAGCAAGGGCCATTAATTCCAGAGCAGTGGCGTAATCATATCCTGGCACAGAAGCATGTAATTTTGTTCTGTGATAATGTTTTATTCGTTCAGCTACATCCTTTGGATCATTACCAAGCCATGGTCGCCATGTATAAGCATTTCCACTAGCAAATGATGTTGCTGCTTGAACAGAAAAGTTCGCATCAGGATGATGTAAAATCTCACGTTTGAAAACAATAATAACATCTCCGTAATAATGACCTAAATGTGGTCCTAAGATACTAAAAACAAGTTTATCGTTACCCAAAGCTTTATCTGGTGGATGACCAATACCAGCTGGATCTGAATGAAGTTTAATGGAAGCTTGTGCAATTTCAATAGCTTTTGTACGTAAGGCATTTAGATCATTCTTTGAAATTGTTTTTGATAGTTTATTTTCTTTTCTCCTAATGATATGTTCATAGGTTTCTTTAGTAGAATATGATGTGGCTCCTTTGGCCACCTCTGCTCCCAGCAAAGCTGGAGGAACTACAGTTGCCGCAGTAAAATTATTTTTTTCGAATTCCAATGCGACCAATGCGGTCACAAATAGTTTGGCGTCCTCTTCACATGTCTTTGTTTTAAGTTCTTCGATACGTCGCATTCGACTATGATTCAAAACGGAATTAGCAACAAATGTTGGATCTTTCAAATGTTCCATATATTCACGACTCATTGCATGTCCATGCAGAAGTATTGATTCAAATATAATTGGGCTACATCGATGAATGGGTTGTACAGTGCGTATCCAGTTAAGAATCTGCTGAGGAATAGCTCCCGACGATAAGGATTTCCATTTATTTTTTGAAATAAAGTCCTCGACATTTGCTACATTGTCTTTCTGATTCTGTACAAAATTTGTGTTTTCATTCGAACCATAATATTGTACAATACCATCTTCGCGGGCTGAAGGATGACGAAAGCTAACTTTATGATCAAATTTTCGAAGATCATGACATTTATCGCCAAATGGACATGCTGGCCGAATATCAGGAACATTTGGGTGTGTAAAGGAATTTAAGTGTTCTTCGTCATTAATATTTCTACATTTATCATGATAAGGACATAAATGACGGGTAATATGAATGGTTTTAGACAAATGTAATGGTGTTTTATCAGTACAGTTGCGACCATTTTTACACACATGAGCATATTTTATACAATGACTTTGAGTGGCGTCCGGGAGACTTCGAGTATCTTTTGCTCCTGCTAACTGGATGTAATGGGTACAATCGAACGGAGATCGTGGACAAGGATTGGAAAAAGGATGTTGAAATTCATCTAAATGGTTTTTGTCATGAAACATCACGCAGAAACCGCCATGGAGACAACGTGGAGCACAATGCCGGAATTTATTACAATGACTGGCGACTTCTTTTTGATATTCCATACATTTATGCGCTTTTTCACAAAGAGGTAAATGACGAAATTGTTTCAAATGATCCTCCTTCTGATTTTGACATCTACCTTCATCTGGGCAGTAGTCTGGATGTTCAAATTCTCGATTATGATTTTCATCATTAATCTGCCGACATACACCACCATCTCGGCATTGATTTCGATGAATGAACGAATTTGTATGAACAGTATCATCTGTTTTTCTACATTTACCCTGAACAGCTGCATAAATACAAAGAGGTGGATGGGAGAATTTATTGGCATGGTTATGATTATGCATCTCGATGCATTTAGCTCCGTAATTGCAAGGTGTCAGATCAAATATAGTAATATTACCTACAGTTGAACCATCACTCAAGAGTCGATAAGGACCAATCATTGTATTTGGTTTGTTCATTGACGTACTCGGTTCTACAGTCTGGTTGTCTAAGATACTTGCGAAAGGTTGAAAATTTCCTTCGGGATTGAGAAGACGACCGGTATTGTGATCATCAACAATGGCAAATATAATCGTGTCAAAAAAACCGGCGTACTGTTCAATAACTGAATAAAAGAGTTTTGCAACATGTTCAGGCGGATTCTTAAATGCACCACATCCAAATGCCGACAGAATAAGGCAATCATGTTTGTGATGATAAGCTATGGCAAAAATATTTTCAATCTTTTTCCTTGTTCCAACAGCATACTTAGATGCTAATAGATTTCCTTTTAACTCAGGATCACGATAAGCAGCCATTGCAATTGCGCAGACATTTTCTAATGGAGTTTCCATAAAAGCATAACCTGTTTCCTCCGATTGCCGAAAGACTGTTATGCCTGAAGTATAGATTGCACCGTACTCATTCATTGGATACATGTTGTTTGGATCAGAGATACGATCAAGACGACAATCGGAAGAACAATGCAAACGATCTGTTCGTTCTTTTAGAAATTCATCAAGACCAATATCAAGACTGCGACAATAATCTGATCGACGAAAAATATTTTCTTCTTGTGCTCCATCGCCTTTTCGAAATCCACCACCAGGACTTGTTGAACTAGCCATGTTGAGAAGAACTGGTCGTTTTCCTATTTTAACCATACGTCCGTATTCAACAAGACAATCACCTCGAATCACACGTATAGCTGTTCGAGGATACAGTGTCTTCGTTAATGATAACTTTTCTCTTCGTTCTAGTGTTGAATCATGGTCATAAACAATGGTCTTTAATTCGTTTTTCAAATTCAATTGTACTTCATGATCCTCAATCATGTAACTTCTTTTTCGTATTACAGCAAGTGTATTTAACATAACAGTTACTCGAAGTAAATGACGTATTTGATCCGGTGTTGGATTCTTTGGATCATGAGCAGTACCTTGAACACCATCACGTTTTTGTGATGCTACACGTTTAAATTGTTCGTTCCATATGTGCGAATTCCAGCGAAAACGAAAGATTTTATGTTGAGGATTGGCAACAAATTGCATGATATCTGGCTTGATTTCCAGCATTTCTCTTTCATACCATGTATCATCATCAATTTCACCTCCATCCGGATTGTTTAAAGTATTACAAAGATTCACGTGAACTACATGATCGTCATCGATACGAAGTGCGCCACGTCCTAAGCATTGTTCAAAAACATCTTTATCAGATAATTCTAAAATCAAATGCTCGCCACTAAGCTTATGATATGTTACTGCATTATTAAATTCTCGATGTTTAATAATACTTTGAATGGAGAATGATTTTGGAATAGGATGAACAATTAGTCGACACACAAGCTTGGTCTTCTTTTGTAATGTGTTTTTATCTATAATAATGAAACTTTTTGTAGACCATAATCTTGCTACATTAGCAGAAATGATGCAAGCAGTGGCCGAGTGTCTGTTGATTTGAACACAAAGAGAAGTGGATGGAAGATCTGATTGTCCAATTGCATCAGCAATCGCTTCTTGTATATGAGATTTTTTAATTGTGCGAGGTAAATCTTCGAAGAAACTACAATCTGCACAATAATAAATATGACCTAAAAAGTTTTTTATACTGAAGACACCATTATATGAAGTATCGATGAGTTCATCTAACGCGGAAGAAACAACACAATAGATATTTGGAAATTGTGCATTTAAGATATTACAGGATAATGGCTTCTCTCCTTTATGCAATTCGACCCAACGACGAGAGATCTCTTTTGTAGTTGGTAATTCTTTATCTTTTAACTCGTCTGTTACGTTAAGCACAATGTACGAAATAAGCTCAATGGTTTCAACAAATGTAATAAAATATTTTCCTTCTTTTGGATCTAAGGCGAGTTTGCCAATTTTGTTTAGTAAGCGATCTTTAAGTTGGTTATCAGTTACATAAATTACACCGATACCTAACTTTGAATAACATTTCACCTTTTTCGGTTTGAGCTGAAGAAGATCTTCTATTCGACGACAAACTAATGTTTCCAATTCATAATTATCTTTTATGTCCGATGGCAGATCAGATATGTAAACCATACTTGCATGTTGTGGGGAAGATGGAGATGAAGCGCGAGGTTCTATTGATTTTTTTTGTGTTGATGGCGTTGATCTTTTATGAGGTACGAACGATTGATCACCATCATCTGATTCGCTATTCAGTTTATCGTATTTAGATTCTTGATGCCTTTTTGTGACATTCCTTTCTTTTCCGTGATACTTGTCATACGCACTTTTACTATATGCACTCACTGCCCCATGATCGTCATCATCATTATCATCGTTGGTGACCATATCTATATATAGCATCAAGAATAGTTTTTTTTAGGAGCCATTGCACGATACGGACGACCAATCGTGCTCAATCGATATCACGAATTTCAATGAAACTTTGCCCATAGGTAGCTCTAAGTGAGATATGAAAATGCTAAAAATTTCAACTTCTAAAACCGTTCCTCTGTTGAGATATTCAAATTACAACAGAGAGTCCATCAAGCAAAAAATGAGAGTCACCACATCAATAGGGTGTGGGTGTATTTCAATCAGACACCTACACCCGGCCTGTGGGAACATCTATCATAAAAAAAATTGGTATTTCGTGAGCCGATTCGCCTAATAGAATGTTCAAACAAAGTTTTCCCATTTTGCTAGTGTCATTTTCCTGGCCCTATCGAATGGTGAAAACTGTATCTCAATACATGCAATCATTCTCAAGAAGATGCCCCAATATGAGGCCTAATGACCCTGCTCAACCGGTATTTCCTAGACCGATTCGTTCAGAGCGATGTTTCAACAAATGTATTTGATGTTCCAAGTGCTATTTCCCAAGCTCTATCGAGTGGCGAAAACTATATTTGAATAAATTCAACCATTCGGGAAAAATGCCCGGATACCGAGCCCAAACTGATCGAGCTGAGTTCTTGGGACCAGCATCGGAGCATTGTCTTCAGAACGGGTGAACGTATCTAGATGCGGCTCTCACCATCTCATAGAGCTCAGGAAATGGCACATGAAACATCAACTACATTTGTTGGAATATTCTGGATGGTGAACCGGCTCTGAGAATACCGACTGGACACGGTCACGGGGCTCGGTATCGGGCATTTTCTCCACAACGATTGCATGTATCGAGATGCGATTTCCACTGTTCGATAGAGCTCGTAAAATTGCACTGGAGACATCAAGTGCATTTGTTCGAACATTCTGCGGGACGAATCCGCCCAGGAAATACTGTTGTGAGAGAGTAATTGGACCTGATATCGAGGCATTTTTTCGAGAATAGTTGTATGTATCGAGATGCAGTTTTCACCGTTCGATTGACCTCGCAAAATAGTACTTGGAACATCAAATACATTTGTCGAAACATCGCTCTGAACGAACCGGTTCAGGAAATATCGGTTGGACAGGGTCATTAGGCCTCATATTGGGGCATTTTCTTGAGAATGATTGCATGTATCAAGATGCGGTTTTGACCATTCGATAGAGCCAGCTAAATAGTACTAGCAAGATGGGAAAACTTTATTTGAACATTCTGCTAGGTGAATCAGCCGACGAAATATCAATTTTTTTATGATAGATGTCCCCACAGACCGGGACACTCTGGTGTGGGTAGAGTAACTCAGTAACAGAGCATGGTATTGAGATGCGATTTTCAACATTGAATAGAGTTTGCAAAATAACAATTGAAACTTTGAATATTTTTGTTGGAACATTCTGTGGGGCGAATTAGCCCAGGAAATATTAGACCGAAAGGCCGTTTTCGATGGTATATGACCGTTTTCTCAATAACGGTGCTATGTATGAAGTAGCGATTTTCAGCATTGAATAGAGCGCATCGAGTTGTGCTTGGAACCTAGGATAATGATTTTGGAACATTTGCCTGGGCAAATTAGTCCCAGAAAAATTCGAAACTGGACATATGATATCCTAGGTGAATATAACATGTGCTTTTTTAACAATAGTGCTTGTAGAAAAATTTAAATATCTCGATAATGAAACAATATTTTTTTGAATGGTTTGCGTAGAAATTCTTCAAACACTTACGCCTATCAAACATATATAAAAACTAGCCAAATGGACAACTATCGATGGGACAGCTTCTTTGGAAGTCGGTCACAGATTAGCCGAAAAAGCTCATATATATGTTTGAACAGGATCTTGTTCGGGTCAAAATCAAAAGGCCAAGATTTTGAAAATTGTTGCTAATAGTTGGAGTAGTACTACTTAGTTCCAAAGCGGGAGCTCATAAGTCGCTCATAAACGATAGAAATGTTAAGCGCAAGTTTGAGAGTATAGCTAGGAACTGCGAAATTCCTCTATATTACTTAACATGCTGAAAAGCGATTTTGGGTACACCAGTATGTAGAGTATCTAGGGTAGTATATATCCACAAAATTTCAAGGCTAAAAACATTATTGTCGAAAAATGGCGAAATATACAATGCATGAGTATTGAAGTGGTGACTCTCATTTTTTGCTCGATGGACTCTCTATTGTAATTTAAATATCTCAACTTAGGAACGGTTTTAGAAGCTGAAATTTTTAGCGTTTTCATATCTCACTTAGAGCTACCTATGGGTAAAGTTTTATTGAAATTCGTGATATCTATTGAGCACGATTGGTCGTCCCTATCGTGCAATGGCTCATAGGAAACAGAAATATTGAGATCTACTTAGTGATCGGTAGAGCAAAACAAAACAACTTACATGGATTAATATTTAGCATATAAGTGAAGTTAGCACCCTACTCGTTTCGCTAGCTGTTCTAGTTCAGTTCGAAGTAAAACTTGATAAGGTCTACCCAAATATGTTCAGATTTTCTATCTCTCAAACTGTGATTCAAAAAATCTCAAAATACTGATATTTTTCTACTGAAACTTCGACACCATATTTATCTAGGGATCTGTTTCAAGTACAATTCGATGAGCTCTATCTAGCGATCTGCTCAAATTATACGATATCTCTAGCGATTATTGTTCGATTTTTCATAGCTCCATCTATGATCTCATCAATCAAAGTTTCGAGTATCGGAAATCTGAGCATCCTATCGCATAGTGTTCTTCGAGTTGTGCTTAAAACACGAATAAAACGTTAGAAATAGGTTTCCTGAGGAAGATGATGCTAACTTCACTATGTGAGTAGTACCGTCTAAAACGAGAAGTATGTCATTTGTTCGAACAGTTCTCACGAAGGCATCTTATTTTTTCTTTAATAATAAAAAAGAGGATGGATAGACGGGGGAATCTGATAGAGCCGCACCTAGATATGCACTGAACTGAAACTGGAAAGCTTTCTTCGTGTGTCTGGATCGCGCACATCGTCTACTATGAAATCCTTTCTTTTCACTTGTTTTCTTCTTTTTATCAATGGTCTAAAACTTGTCGAACTCAAGTTTGAACGTTTGGGTTTGGGGAATCTCTGAATAAACTAACGAATAATACTACTGTATATTACTGTTATTGAGATTTTGTTAAACTAATTTTCAAGACGACCCAAACTGTTGTCTCTCTTCCAAGACAGAACAGAATGCTATTTGTCTTTTACATAAAACCCGACAGAAACTATATGACATAGATACTTGCCCTTTTTGGATGATTTTGCGAAGGTGTGGTCGTCAGTTGTTTTGGATGCACTTGACGATGATGAGTGGCCATATTGTTCTTCAGCAATTGTTGTGTACGAGGAGCCAACTGTGGATGAGTGACGAGTAACTCGTGATTTAGCACATGATTGACATCGTTTTTCTGAAGTTAAATTCTTCGCAGAACAATTTTTGCACTCCCATCGGTCTTCATCTATTTGCTTTGTATATGAAGAAACTTTGCTTGAACTATCTTTATTCTTATCCAATGTTGATGTTACATAGTCTACATCATCTCTCTAGAAACAGTCAGAGAAAAGTATAATCTGTTTTAAGAATCCATATTGAAAGTGGATGGGAGGGTGATAATGTGAATTAGTGTATTGTATTCATCTCACCCCCTATACAGACACTCATCCTCAAATCAATATTGTTTTCTAACGACACGTTGAAATTTTCGACGTTTTATATAAGCGAGATATTTTTTGTTTCGATATTCTTTCTGCCGATCTTATCAAAGCCGTTCTCTCTTCATGTAAGTAGCAAAAATTTGCAGGAAAAAGCATCGTGTAGTATCTTGCAACCTGACATACTCTTCCAGACAAGAAAACCTTAAAATATAGGAAGAGTCTGAACAGGGAAGTTTGAAAAGTCAAATCAGCTTTTTTTCACCTTTGTTTATTAAATATCTCGCTCGTACACCAGGCTATATGGCTGAAAATTTTATGAAACTCCACTGTAGCTGGACTGAGATGGACTTTTAAAAAGTAGGAAACCTAATCCAAAACTGAGTATTTTATGGAAGTGCAGAATCTATCCGTGTATGCATGCAACAGCTCGCGAATATTCTTCATCTTCTGTATAGATTCTAATACCTTTTCTCATTGTGTTCATACTATCATTAGATTTAGTTGGATAGAACATATTCTATTGAAAGCATAGGTCAAAATTGAGGAACTGAGCAGTTTCTTCGTCCAATAAGCCATAGAAATGTATTAGAAATACTCTTAAGTGAGATCATCAATAAAGATACACTTTTCTCACATACTTGATCATCAGTCTTGGATTTTGTATTAAGCAGATTCTCGATACAAGCACGATGAAACATTAGATGACTGCCTGTCGTTACTTTGTCGTCAGTTTTTCTCAATGATTTGCCACACGAAGAACAAGATTCCATGATGAGTCAATCTAAAAATGAAAAATTTCTTTATGCATATATTCTTTAGAAATCCAATGTGCACGTAAAATTCAACAGAACTCCGCAAAGTTGAAAATAAAATAATGAAAAATAAATGTGCCCTTTATAACATTGTGCTGAATCATGTGTGATGCATGTTCTTTCTTTCATCCAGCAAGTGGGAGAAATCGATGGTAGCTTTCACTCGCAAATAAAAGGAACCTTCCAACATGACTTTATTCGATGCTTATGATAGTCAACCAATAGCATTAAATTTCATTTTGTTTTCGACAACAAGCAATAGAATTTTAGTCAAATAACGATTAATTTCTTCCTAATCTATTATGTTCTTTTGCTGGTCTAAAGTAAATATTTCTGTTGCCACCTTATTGCGTCTATTAAAAGTATAGTCCACAAGCAGAGAATAACGATAACGAGGGTGTAGATGTGGGTGTGCGGTGTGGTTGTTAGGTTGTCGTTATCGCCATTCTCTTAGTCCACTCATACGCATGCCCACGCCCACACCCACACCCTCATCGGCCATAAATTAGATGAAATATGAAGAGATACTTCACTTAGTATATCGATGGTATATCAATGACACTCAGTTGAGTAATTGTTGAACTATACATTATGTATGCTTGCTAGATGTTATTCTGACAGTGAGTATAGTTTCTTTCATTGAATTGATAATTAGAAAAAACACTAGAATAAGAAAGTAACTCTCTCTCTGCAGATTGTTTTATTGTAGATTTGCTGTTTTATTTTTAAACATGCACAAAAATTGTGTATTGTTGTCATGGTTGTTACTCTTAATAAGAAAAATAATTTCAAGAATAAAATTAGTAGAATGAAAAAAAATGTTTTTGTCTTTAATTGTTTTACCAACTTATGATTATATTTGCATGCGCTGATTGTAAAAATGAATTTCAAAAAAAAAACTACATGGTATACTAATCTCTTCTTTTTTTTCATTCATTGCTCTTATCAAAGAGAACATTTTTTCGATTGTACCTGCGCCAATGTGCTCTGCTCTTCGATTTCCGTATGACAAATAAACGCATGGATTTTTTCTTATCGGTAGCGCAATTACAAGTTGAATGTCTGACGTAGATATTTACGCACTTGTTGCAGCAAGGAAGAACAGAACAAGTCGTAAAAAAAAGAGACGTATACCTACATAGATTTCTTTACTCATTTTTTTCTAGACTTTTTTGCCATTAGACGAATACGCAAAATATTGGCTGATGGCTGCTAGTAATTCAAATCTGGGTAAGTTTTGAAAAAAATGCTCATGTAAGCACGATATAACTTTCAAAATTTAATCAGATCTTGCATTTGCGATGGATTGCACAAGTTCGATGGATTCCTACATCACTAGTGCCAAGAATAACATTCGTGTAATTATCGACGAAATCACTGCAAAGGAAATGATAACTATACGTCTAGCACTCATCGAGTATCGAGATCATCCACCTCAGGTCTGTGTGAAAACAGATGGAAATGATGGAAAACTCTAATCAATATAAAATGTACATGTTTAGGACAGCACATTCGTGACCCGTGTGCATAGTTTTACTAATACAGTGATGGAAATGAAAGGATGGTTGGAACAATGCAGTGCTCACGGTGGTGGGGATGGCCCTGAAGCAGTGGCCGACGCGCTTCACGATGCTCTAAACCTCTCCTGGCGCTCTGATGCTGCTAAAATCTGCATTCTCATTTCGGATGCACCACCACATGGACTTGTTCGTGCAGGTGACGGCTTTCCAGATGGATGCCCTGCAGGTCATGATCCACTCAACATCGTTCGAAAAATGGCTGAAAAAAATATCACACTCTATACCGTTGGTGTTGAACCTCCAATCGGTAATTTGTTTCTCTCTACCTCAATCCACATACTTCAAACCTTATCTAATATATTTTTTCTATTCTAGTACCCTATCGTGATTTTTTCATGACAATTGCACATATTACTGGTGGACAATATGTTCCAATGGTTGACGCAAATCGACTTGCTCAAATGATTATTGGTGGAGTACGCGAAGAGATATCCATCGATCGAGTTATGAATGCTACTAAACGCGACATAGCTCGAGAAATGCGCAAAGCAGCATCGGATGGAGTTGACGATATAGAAACAGCCAAACGACTACAACGAGTTTTTTCGGACAAGAACGTAGTAGTCAATCGAATGAAAAATGAGGCTGGAGCACCATCAAAGGTAGCTGAAGAATGCTACTCGAAGTGTGTCGGCATGTCTGATATACAGCAACAATACAAGCAAACACAGACAGTCTCACATACAAAGCCAGCTGAAATGGACTATAAATTAGAAGAGGAAAAAACAGTCAGTTTAGAACAAGCAAAACGCATTGTTCAAAAGGCCAAAAACTGGGATTACTCAAATATTGATGAAGCTGAAAAGAATGGTAATACACCATGCAAATATGGAACGAACTGTCATGATCATAGTGAATATCATCGAGCAAGATTTTCACATCCGGAGAACGATAATCTTTCTACACAACGGAAACACGAAACGAAATCCAGTCACCATAATACTCAACATCGAGATACACATCGCACCACTCAAAAAGATAGCAATCGTATACCATGCAAACACGAAGAAAGATGTCATGATCATAGTGAATATCACCGCGCAAAATATTCACATCCTGAAAACGAAAGTCGTCGCACACCTTGCAAACACAAAGAAAATTGTCATGATCATAGTGTATCCCATCGTGAGGCATTCTCACATCCTGAAACTGGTGATCATCGTATAAAGTGCAAGCATGGCTCGAATTGTTATGATAATAGTGATTATCATCGAACGAAGTATTCACATCCGAATATGTCCAGTTAATCAAGCGATAAATATTAAGAAAACACTGTAAACTCCATTTCTTTGTTCTTCCTTTGCACTGCATATTTTACGTTAACATACATTCCAACTGGAACTCAAAAAAATATTTAGTTTTATGCTCATAATTCTCTTTCATTTCATTTTTAAAAAGAGTTACTCTGGGTGTGGGTGTGGGTGTGGGTGTGGGTGTGGGTATGGGGCGTGGGTGTCAAAGTTCTATACAATTACAATCACATCCACACCCACAGCCAGACCCACACCCCACATCCCACACCCACACCCACACCCACACCCTTTGGACTGTCCCGAAAATACTCTAGATCTCTGTTATTACCCAAGTAGTTTTTGAAAAAAGTTTTGTTCATGATCAGCACTCAGTGTTATTAATCTATAAAAATTGTGAATTAAACCAAGGCAAAAAGTTGTCGAGCACTAGAGGTGGCACACATACAAAAGATTGGCTAACCGTAAAGTAAAAAATGACGTCACAGGAAATGATCTTACTGCATTTGAGTACTAACATTTGAGTCAATTGTTGTCATATTATCAACAATACCCAGGCCGTAAAATCAGACAATGAGATCTTACAAGATTTTTGCACTGGCAATGCATTAATGCAAAGATTTTAGTATTTGAATAAGTTTCTGAAGGATCTTATGGAATCTTGTAGTAATACTTGATCTAAAATTATCGAGGACTAAGATTTTTCGTAAGATTTTTCATCTGATCTTGCAAAATCATACAAGACTACATGACCATATAAGGTTTTATACAAGATCTTATAGTTGGATGTTCGCCTTAGCTACATTTACAGTGGTTAGAGTGCTGTTCTGTGATTAGGATCAAATAAGAGTTGACGATCGTTAGTGAAACATGAAGTTTAAGTTTGAGAAAGAAGTTGTAAAATGGTTATCAAGGATATTTTCAATATACCTACTTTAACTTTAACTCTTAAAGCTTAAAGCGACACTTTAAGTTCAACTTTGAAAGTAAAGTTAAAGTGCCACCCCTAGTTTTTTGATTGTTAATATGTCTTTACATTGTCGAGCTTTTCACATATCATTTCAAAAATACACACTAAAAAATCATTGAATTACGAGTTTGACTTCAATTAAGTGATGCATAAAGTCTCCTAACGGAAATCTTTTGAGTTTGGTTTCCACAACATATAGTAACGCACTTTCTGGATGATTTGGCACTATCCTTTAAATGGTCAAATCTGAAATACTTTTGCAGCTTTGATTGTACGAAAGACACTCTTCAAAAGTAATCGATTCAACTTGTTCTAATGATACTAGCAAATTGCATACCAAGACACCTTGGTAGACACAGTTCCGTTAAATACTGTTCATTCTCCCACTTCTGCTCAATTTTTTAGCATGGTTTCAATATCGACAATAGATCTGTACTTGTCAATGAAGGACAACTAATTATGTTCACATTGTTTAAGAATTAATCTTTCATTTTATGATGAGCGAATGGAGTAAACATTAATAAATAAAAAGTATTAAAAGCATACCTGTACTATTTCCTTATGTTCAATGAAGAATGGTAAGAATGTAGCGCCAGATTTTCCAGATACTGGTGCCCATCGTTCTATAAAAAAATGCGTTGACTTTTCTATTACATTGTTCAATAGGATCAACAGATGAAAAAAGAGAGAGTTCTGATCAATCAGCTCAATATTGAATGATAAAAGGAAAAATAACAGTCATAATTTAGCTACCACTAATATGTTATTCTCTCTGTTTTTCCGATAAATATCATTAGACGACACATAGCAACAAGAAAATCGGCAAAAACGCTTCCGACAACTAGTCGGTAAAAAAGCACGCACGAAGAAATAGAATGAAAAAAGTCATGTTTTGTCACATACACACTGTCTGTGCTCAGAATCACAATGAAATCACATCATTCATTGTATACTAATAATGTGCAATCTACAGAGTGTCCGGAAAGTCATTTAACAAAAAGAAAATTGAATATCTCCGTTATTTCTCGTTCAAATTGGACAATTTTTTTTTTATTTGAAAGAGGAATGTTCAGAGTTTTGGGTGGGTGTGGGTACTTCCATCATTCACACTCATATCCACACCCACACTCACACTCTATAAACTTACAAGAGCTTGAGTTTCACACTTTAGTCTCTAATAGCACCACACTAACATTTTTTTATCTAAGGTTTTTTCAAGATTTTACAAAATGCTGAAAAACTTGCAAAGTTTCTGAAAGATACATGGGAGACCGAGCAAGGATTCTTTGTTCACTTTTTTCAAGCTGAAGAATTTCAAAAACTATCTAATCTTTCGATAAATTACTTTGGAAATTGAAAAAAAAAATCTCTCAATAACCTTTCGGTTACTAAGTCGACAATATCAACAACATAAGTTGCCTACAATACCTTTAAAATTTCCGAAAATGCTAATCCAGTTTCTGGTAGTAACATAAAGGTATTCTGAAATACTCATAGATTATGAAAGTCTGCATACTCGAAAATTGAAAAGTTTCCAAAAACTTCGAAAGCTAAAAATGTATCTGCAATAATAATTTATCTTACTCAAACACTTATAGGGTTGCTCGAGGGTTGTGTAATAAGTATGATTTTTCTACGAGACATTTTTTAGTGTGCACTCTACTGTATATAAAACATTATGATTTCCATTTTTTAAATTTCAATACCAACGCCAGATATAATTAACAATCGCATCGATTCACTTAGTTGCCTCTCAAAAGTGTCTTCATGTATTTATCATAATGCAAGCATGTTCTACGCACGACTAAACTTTGGAAAATACGTTATTTGTCTGGCGACTAACGTCAATGCTTTCTGCTACGTCATTTTCTTAGATGACAATCATCCTTAGGTGTTTCTATATAATCTTGCTCTATATGAAAGGAGAAGCGCATAAAATATTATTAAAGCACAGCAAAACGAATAGAGAATTTATTATAATAAGATAGCTGTATTTACATACAAAGTTATTACGGATTAAAACTCAAGATGCAAATAGATATAAAACAAACCATTGGCGATACCAATAACACTCAACAAAATACTTCTGTTCGACTAATTAATGAATTGGTGAGATTTAATATTTTACTTGGATTTGGAGTGCCATCGTTCATTTGTTATATTTTCATCCTTATTTACATACTCACTCATAAAACTCATCGTTCAGCACCTAATAATTATTGTCTTCTCATTATCTTAATTCTTCAGTTTTCTTGTAATATATTGGATATTCCATCACAGATGTATTTTTATTGGCAAGGCATAGTACTTATTCAGAGTAGTATCTATTGCTATATGTGGCAATTTATCGATTATTGTACTTGGACAGTCAACCTGATGTTACTGGCATGGGCTTCGTTTGAACGACATATTCTAATTTTTCATGATCGACTTCTTCGTTCAAAACGAGGAAATATATGTTTGCATTATGCACCACCTTTTATAATTATTGGCTACGGTATATGTTACTATATCTATGGCTTTGCTTATTATAGATGCAAAAATCCATTTCTATTTGACAAGAATTTTTGTAATGGTCCCTGTTACTCTAATTACCAATCTATGATGTTATGGAACAGAGTGGTTAATTATATACTTCCTTCAATATGTACTGCTATATTTAGTGTTACACTTTTAGTTCGTGTAATATACTCGAAGCGTCGTTTTCAGGGAGCGTTTAACTGGCGAAAGTACAGTAAAATGACTTATCAAATGGTATCTATATCATTTCTCAGTATTGCAACTATCATGCCGTATAGTATCAGCGGCTTCTTAAATCATATTCGTCCCTCTACTATACCAAGTCAGATAGTGAATCTTTTCGCATTCATAGCTGTTTTAGACCCTCTAAGTGTGCCATTCGTATATTTGACATCAGTATCAGAAATCTGGACATTAATTAAAACAAAAATCTGTTGTGCAACTACTCGACGAACGGTTCCAATAGCCTTCACAAAAAAAAAATAAACACGCTTTAGCTAGTCATTGTATCTTTGATGAAATTTGCTTATGTAATAATAAATGATGATATACTATTATTCTCATTCTTGAAAGAATCTCGAAGAATTCTATAAAAACGGACTACTGTCGAATTTTATGGATATTTTGTGTCCGACATCTTTTTTATATGATTTATTTCCGAGATTTTCATAACCATATTGACTCGAACTACATCAAATTCTAGCTCATCAAATATGTCTGAGTTGTTCCGTGTAAGACAGCCCATTCTTCATTAAGAACGATGGAATGTTCTCAAACTTTTGTTCTAGATAGAGGAATTGACAGGCTACAATTTTTTATAATTTGAGTTAAGATGATAGTGAAAATCTTTGAAACAAGACATAAAAAAAATGTCAATCACAAGGCGACCATGAGGAGAAGTTACAATCTCAATGAATCTTATGTGGATATATGACTCCAAGAGAATGTGGGCGAGTGTGTGCGTGGATGTGCGTGTGAGCTGTGGATGTGGGTGATTACAGTAGAGTAAGCAACACCACACCCACGCTTACACCCCAAAATCTTTATAATTGAATGTGGATGTGAATGTGAAATAGGACTGACTGTGGAAGGGTGTGTCGGTGTAGGATCCAAGAAAACACCCACACTCTACTTACAGCCTAACGTTATAAACATGCTCTATGATACTTACAGATTTTTTTTGTTGTCCTTCTACTAACGAGGGAACATATTTGAGTGTACTCACGCCAAGAGGGATATAAAACATTCTATCCTATAGGACTACCCATGAGTATTTCGGATAGGAACAGGATGTGGGTGTGTGCGGATGTGGGTATGAGTGTGGGTACGGTTCTTCACTGTACGGACAGGCATACCTACACCCAATCACCCACACCCACACCAAATGTGCCCGCGCACTTCGTGACATATTGATGCAAGACACATTACACATTGAAAATGGTAATGAATATGAACCAGTTTATCGTCATTCAACAGATGAACAAACTAAACCTGAATCATAGACACCGACGTATTATTGGGTTGATGCAAAAGTCTCCGCCGATTTTTTAAAAATTTTCTTAAAGCCCTCTAGCGCTACTATGCATTCGTGATTTTCATACATATGATACCGCTTGTGTCGTACTATAGGATGACATTGGTAAATGTCCTAGTTTATTTACATTCTTCATTAAAACATGTCAGAGATTCCTATTCATATCCGACACTGCATTTTGTATGAGTTCCAATTAGGGAACAATGCAAGTGCTGCTGCCCACAATATATGTGCTGCACTTGGTGAAGGTGCTGTTGCCGATCGAACGTGTCGCGATTGGTTTAAAAGATTTCGTGAAGGTGACATGTCATTAGAAGATCGTCCGAGATCTGGACGTCCTATCGAATCTGATATTGAACGATTAAAAGTCCTGATCGAAGACAATCCACGATTAACCATCCGTGAATTGTCAGCAATACTAGGGTGCAACCAATCCACCATCGATCGCCATTTGCATGAAATGGGAAAAGTTAATAAACTTGGAACATGTGTTCCACATCAACTAACCTCGGACAACATACAGCAGAGAATCACCATATGCAATTCTTTGTTGTCAAAACGCAACCGACATAGATTTCTTCAGCAGATAGTCACTGGTGATGAAAAGTGGGTTCTATATGTCAACCATACGCGCAAGCGCCAGTGGGTAAATCCTGAAGATTTGCCCGAACCAGAACCAAAAAACGACCTGCAGCCAAAAAAGGTGATGCTATCGATTTGGTGGGATTACGAAGGGATAATCTACTGGGAACTTCTACCTCCTAATACTACGATAGACTCGAAGCTTTACTGCCAACAACCTCAAAATTTGAAGGTTGCTCTACAGGTAAATCGTCCAGAAAGACGAAAAATTCGATTGCTTCATGATAATGCAAAACCTCATGTCTCAAAAGTTACCCGCCAGAAGCTGGAAGAATTAGAGTGGGAGGACTTACCCCATCCACCATATTCACCAGATTTGGCACCATCCGACTATCATTTGTTTCGATCGCTTCGCAATCATCTGGTCAAAAAACACTTCGATGATCAAGCCCACCTAAAATCGGACCTCGAAACTTTTTTTTTGTCTATGTCTAAGAAATTCTTTGAAGATGGTATTCTGGATTTGCCTAAAAGATGGGAGTATGTAGTAGATAGCAACGGTGTATATGTTGCTGATTGATGATATTTTGTTTCAATAAAATTTTGAAATCGAGAAGAAGAAAAAAATCGGCGGAGACTTTTGCATCAACCCGATAGATTTTCTTTAGATAGACAATTTAAACAGCTTTGTCATTTAATTGTGGATAAGTCGATTGATATTCTAATTACCTACTAACTTGATCTAGTTGAATTTCAAATCAAAGATCAATGTTTGATTTGATTTATGTCACTGGAAACTAAGATGAAAATATTAGCAACAAAAAAAAATTTTGTCTCGATTTAGACGTCATTCGAATCTAGTTCAAACCACTCATTTACTTAATTTTATTCAATAGATGTTCGCTTATTGAACTCAATGATGAAGGAAATCGTCCGAAAATTTTTAATTTTTGTAATCATTCTATGAAGTTAAATACTTTCTATCGATTAAGTAGTACATTTTTTGAGAATGGACAAATATATACTTTGGTGATAAGACTTATAGAGATAAAGTTTTCTTTTTTTGTTTTTCATTGAAAAATATTGTTCGTACGAATTTCATGAGAGATAACATGGAATGATGACTATTGTAAAACAAAAAAATATCCTCGTCTTCTCAATCCGATTCTCTAGTTATTATAGAAAAAAATTTCCACTCTAACAATTTCTTGGCAAAACTTTGAAAAAGGGATAACCATAATTTTTTTGTTTCCTAGAAGATTATAAACGATCGAAGAGAATAATGCATCAATCTTTAATAGTTTTACTTTTCCTAACAGTGTTCACATATTGAAGTATGATTATCAATTAGTGTTACCTGTTGAGGCTCATTTAATTTAGACTGAATTGGTGATGCTGTTTGATGTGAACTGGTTATCAAGATTTTTTTTCGATTAGTTTTGTTTCTTTTTGGATACGAAGATCGAATCAACTCAACTTGCATTCCACTATTTAAACATTTGATCAGTCGACAATAAGAACATATATGACGATTATTTATATTTATTTCACAATGACCATCATAGAGACATTTCAATGTTTCCTAGAAACAAAATAAAATGAGTGAATATATAATTCAAAGAAAATCTATATTTTCAATTGACTTTTCCACGTTCACCATTTCGTTTGAAAAACATTTTACATGTATTACATGAAACTACGCCAAAAAATGAATATTTAGCAGGAGCTCCACAAATTTTACACTCAATTTGTACGATTGTTGACTGTCGTTTTCTATTCATAGAATTATTTGACAATGATTTTTCCATTGTTAAGATACGTTTTTTTTTTATTGATTAAATCTAAAAAATAATAAACAAATCATATTTAGGATTATAACTTTCAAAATGAAATAGTCAAAAAAAAATTTGAAATTTTATCAACTAATATTCAAAACTGTGAAGAATGATAATATGATTGTAAAAAACACAATTATTTTCTTTAGAATATTTTTTTTTTATCTTTGATAAAAACCATGATTCATCTGATAGTTCTATATTTATTTGTATCAATATTAGACATAAACCTTCGTATTAATGAAACACAAAACGGGCTAGAACAGAACAGAGAAAAAAAAGAAAAATATTTTTTTTTTACTTTCTTTCCGTAAAGATAAGCGTGGACTGCCGAGAAGTACGCATTTTGTGATCGTTAGGTTAAGGTCCAAAAACATCCATTCTATTTTTATTCAATCTTATTTATTTTTCCAATCATTAACGTTTAACTTAACATCATATTAATTTTGAATATTGATGCCTAATAAATAAATACAGAGGACTAATAATTGCTGAAATGAAATTTGTTTTCACTTTCAATCTTTTCTTTGTTGTACTCAGACATACTCTCTTCTCTATGCATATACACCTAAATCTCAAGTATATATCCTTGATCAAATGCTGAGCATATGACATATTCAATATTGGATTGTGAAGATGTAGAAACTTAAGCTATCAAAAATCAATTGGATATCATCATAGTGCTCTCGGTATTAATTGTGATAGTTACATACAAATTAGAAGACGCATCTCTATTCCTATTCAGTCTTAATGTTCGTGCTGCTTCACCACTTTTCTTCGTTAAAACTTCAATAAAATCCGTTAATGAGCTCTTCATGTCCAGATAAACAGTATAATTCTCATATAAGTATTAGTGCTACTGATCTCTTCAAATTCGAACAAATCTACCTGTTTGTTTGACATAATCGTTTAAGAAACCATCAAATTACTTATCAATGCAGAACCTTATACTGAAAATGTGAAGGAATCGATGTGCAACAACTCCTAAATAATGTTTTCGTTCTTTTTTTTTAGTCCGAAGAAGGTTGCTAACATGCAATTTCTACACACACATATAAATATATATTTGTGGAACAATAATACGTATAGGACATGTTGTTTTTTCTTCTTATTCGATATAAGCAACGACATAAATCTTTTAAACGTAGTAATTTTGTTGAACTTGTAACTTTTCTCAACTATTTTTTATCAGGACATTAAAAAAACAAGGAAAACAATTGTTCGTGGCATGTTGACATCTTGACAAAGTTTCATGTATCTAGAAAATGACATTTTATATTGTAAAACAGTACGAAGTCCTGCGAGTAGAATATAGGGTTCATACAGTTGAATACTATGATGAAAAAATTGATATTTTTAGCAACAGAGATTAAAAAAATCAGCTGTTTCCTCCTTGGTTGAATAGATACAAGTTCATGATGGTTGTAGAAAGACAGACATTATTTTTATCTATTAAAATCAATGCTTTATCAAAAATATCAGTCTGTTTTCAAAATCAATTAGTAAATATTACTTCAACATCTTCGCATTGCTTATTTCGATTTATGAAATCTATGGGTGAAGTTTATTTTATCAAGGTGATGACTGAGATCGATTCAAAAATTTCTTGGAAAAAAATAACTATTTTCAAAAAGATGGAGTCAATGATTGCTTTGTCTTTAGTTGATTTCGGATGTGAGAATGAAAATAATAAATTTGTATTGTGATAATATTCTAAAAAGTCAAGATGGTTAACAACATGTCATTGTTGTATATGGGAATTGTTTATCGTGAGTTGATCGATATCATTTCAAATTGACATGTGTCAATCTATTCCAAAGTTTGAAGAAAGATCGACATTGATTTTAATAAGATCGAGTCGAATAGCAAAATGCATCTTTTGATCGATAAATCTGTCACGGATACTCTTTGAATATTAAGTATATACTATTTGTTTTACTTGCTTTTAAATAGTGTGAGAACAAAAGAAACAAGTTATGTAATCGTCATTTATTTTCAATAGGAGAACACAAATAGAAAAAGATTTACATAACATGATTATGATTATTCTCTTCAAATTCATTAGAGAATATTATGTTTACTATAAAATCGAAGAGATTGAAGAGCATTAGCAGCGAACAGTATGGATGAAAATATGTTAGAAAGCATGATTGTTCTTAGAACTTATCGAAAATTCACAAAGGTAACAACTTTTCGAGTTTTTGTTAGTCCTCTCATTAACAATCTCTGACAATGCTCGAAGATTTATTCAATTAGTAACACCTAATTCGAAGTGTTTCTTGATCCACATTTGTGAATCACTCCTAATAAGTCTTACGTAGTGTTTCGAGTAGCGACAAAGCCAATATCGACCAGCAAAATCGTATTGATGAATTCTAATACAAAGCTGTATAAAGCTTAGTTATGAAAAGTGATACAATTAACGATTTCGATACACAATTAAATTCTTCTAGCACACATTTTGACCGAAGAACATACGAATTATTCTACATGTTTTTGTCAAGAACGAATCCATATGGCACAGTTATATCCATCATAAAAGGTTTAAAAAAGATAAAATATATCAAAATGTTGATTGTATCGATATTGTTCAAACAATTTTTTCTATGAAAATATTAACACTTTGTTTAATCAATGAGAATGTTTTTTTTTATTGAGTTTTGACGATGATAATATTGGATTAATTATGAACTATTGCCATTTCCAACACTTTATAGTCACGTAAAGAGTCAAAACAATGATTGATATAGTTGTTTTGTATCCAATCTAAATGTAATGATCCTTGAGAATAAATTTTCTATCTTCTATAGATTGTCTTCGACTGATCTTCTTTTGATTATTGTAATCTGTTTTAGTACAGACATTTAAATGTATAGTAAAATGTTTCAATCAATCCAGAACATCACAAAGAATCGAACTGTCTGGTAAAGAATAGTTTTGTATTGTTTGTTTGAAGTGTTTGCCGATTGAATTCATAAGAATAACTCGAAAGATATTAGTATATCAAATCAAAACAAAAGTTGTGTAGATAACAAGATAAATCGTTCCCAGTTTCATATTACACATTCATTAGGAGAGGCTTTTCATCCCTTTGAATATATATCAAAATAGTAAAAAGAATATTGGCAATGAATTCAGAAAAGATTACAATCATAGAAATTTCAATGAAGTGTGTTCTGTTTGAAAAATATAAAGTTAATATTTCACCATATCCAAACAATAAATAATGAAACAGTATTAATAATTTTCGATGAAAATAAGATTTTTCATCAGATAATGATCAATACTATTATTATGTGCATGTATCCTTTCTATATTCTTTGAATTTCTATTTTTTTAAGAAGCATGACGCATTTGATATCGATATTTTACAGGAAAAGAAAATAATTGACTCATTATTATTTCTTTTCTGGGAGCCAGAGTCAATTGACAATTGAGTATATGTTATCGAAAACATTGGTCTCAGTGCGTTTTTCTTCGTATTTGAATTACATATCGCCGAAGACTCATACTTCCTGAATATACATGACGAATGAATTCGAATCAAATCTACATATAAATATCCCAAGTACAACTATAGGCACTACGGTATATCAAAACTAATCTATAAAATATAACAATGCATACTAAATTCTGTTTCTTTGTTGTTATTGTCTTGGTGGCTGTTCTTCTCTTGGGTAAGTAAGTGTCAATTTAAGAGAAATTTTCAATTTTGAGTTGTTCTATCAATTCAGATATTGTTAATGCTGGTAGTTGTCATCAAGAAGACTATATCAAGTGTGTAGTAGAATGCCTTCCGAAAGTAGGCATTTGTCTCAGTGGTAGCGATGGTAAACTGAGTTGTAAATGTCTCGGTAGGAATATAAATTAAATATTTATAACAATCTGTACATGTATCTATTAATACTTTAATTCTAGATTTCGGCAGAAAATGATTATGCATGGATGTTGCACAAACTAAAACAAAAAAAGGACACTTATATATAAATTGTTTTCGTAATCATTTTGTTTTTGATGTTTTCTCTTAATAAACACGATAATTCTGTCTGAATTTTAACAGTTTATTGATTTTAAACACAAGATTTAGTATCATTCGTGATAGAATATTGATAAAGTTCATTTTTTTGATAGATGATCGTCAATGATCAATTTGTTTAATTTGACATTCGATTAACATATTCTAACAATTGTTTGTTTATCTTTGGCAATAATTCAAGAAATGAATACTATTTCAAATCGATCGAAAAGTGTTTTCAAATGAATTTCTTTCGTCAAATAGAAATTAATTAAATGAATTTTATCATGTACTCCTTGTCGAGACATTAGAACTCTGTTGGCATTGTTACTATTCCTTAAAATATAAGTAGCCGTTCGGCGAAAAGGTTACAGGGCTATCAGTTGAAATCGAACGATATTTGAAAGTTAAATATGATGAAATCAAGCGAGCTATGGGAATCTTGACTTAGATACTTCAGAGAAAAAAATTTAGTATGATCGAATGAACGAATAGAAAATTATTGAATATAAATCAATATTAGTTTTGTCGCTTATGCTTAAAATGCAAATCCATTCTCCATTTCGGGGAGAAGTATGAATATTGCGAGAGGACAAAGTCAACCTAGAATATATGGCGATGCAAGAAAATGATATATTCGAAATTGTCAATCGGATTTCAATGAATCATCTTGCTTTTGGCTTAAATATTCATAAAATTAACTACTATGTAATCTGTGTACAGAAATAGAAATCATTGAGTCTGACTGAAAGATATATATCTTTTTTGTATTAAAAGAAGATTGTTTTTCGAATATTTCTTGGCAAATTCTCTAGTAAATAATCTTGTTAATGCTGTAAAAAAAAGCAGATTGAACGAATTCACTCTCGAAATATTGTCAGAGAAAATACGAGATTCGAAGCAATATCACAAAGATTTCCACATTATCTGATGCTCATTTCAAGGAAAATCCAACAAGAAGTTTGTTAAATGTTTTCTATTTGCTTAAATCACTAATTTTGCCAACAATGATTTTTATAGAGTTCTTTTGTTAGAAAATCGTATTCGAGAAAGACATTCCTTCATGTGTAAAATGCATATTTGAATTTACTGGACTTTATTATTTGTGTCTTGGTGTGGGTGTGGGTATGAGTTAACAGGGGATGAGTACACTCACATCCACAGCCACTTCAAACTGCATTTGTTGTTCGATGTAAATATACCATAAGATGCAGCGTGTTCTGGGCTTTCTTTCTATATATAGGAAGTTAATAAATTAAAAAGGTCTAGTGATAAAAACTAAAAGATACAAAAGGGGGGGGGGGGTGAGGTGTACAGTAATATATTTAGGAACAATTGAAACAAAGTGAGTCTATCTAAGAATAATTTTCGTTTATCTTTCGAAATAAATTAAATAATTTTGTGCGTACATTTTATATTATTATTTTTTAAGACATCGTGCCTAGTTTTTATCTATTAGAATATTGAAAAACCATGCAAACACAAAATTAGTATACACATGTTTCTGTGATAGTTGCTTTCGATAGACAACATACTGAAAAAGTATTTAGAGAAAGTTGAAATATACAGTTACATATAGTGAGAAAGGAAAGATAAGGTATGACTGTGACTGCGGATGTGCGTGTCGGAGTGAGTGAGAAGGATATCTACACTCATCCACACCCACACAAACCTTGTGATTGCAGTGACACGTCTTCCTAGTTACCGTCAATGTCGATATCTTGTTCTTGCTCATGTTGTCTAGTTTGGTGATACATTCTGGTCTGATGTTTTGGACAAATTCGATTGACGTGATCTATTGTTAGTTGTACGTCGACCTTTTTGCCCTGTTTGACTAATTTCTACAAAACCAATTGAAGGTAGGAACATCATCGATTGTCTATCCGGCCGCAAGCTATGCTTTGACTGTTGCAGAGCGTGGCATTCCCGTAGCTGATATCAATATTGAAACGACTTCTTCTACTGCTGTCTCGAAGTGAGTTCTTTTTTCTTGTTTGATATTTCGAATGTCTCTTTATAGTTTTCATTTCCAAGGTACCGCTAGCGAAATACTTCCAACAATATGGGTACCGATTACAGATGATATTTAATAGAATGAAGAACAGTTATTTAAAAAAAACGACATTGAGCTAAACTTAACTGAGATCAGGTGTTTTTGTTTTGAAAGAGTGAATCAATTGATCTTTTTCATAGAATAATCAAGAAAAAAAGTCAATGTGCCTGTACAATAAATGTGATACCATTGAGATTTTCTTACATAACAAGCATGTGTGGGTCTTCTCTTAAGCCACACTCTCAAATCTAAATTCATAGTACAACATATTCTGTATCAATACAAAAAAAGGAAATCGTTTCAATCACTATCTAATAGTAATATTATTACTATATTAAAAAGGACCAAATTGCTTGTTAGTTTGTATCTTCCACTACAGTAACTGACCTTGATGTATTCTGGCATCATGTTGAATCAAGTGTTTGATTCCCATCATTGAAAAGTATTGAAAAGATTCATCATCTGTTTTTTTGTGTGGATCTTAAATACCAGTCAAATGCTGTTCGATAAAGGAAAAGATTTTAATCAAATCAGTAAAAATGATTGATAATTATTTTGATAAAATATATTAATTATAAGTTGTATTTTATAGTGGTAATAATTATTTAATTGATCATGAAATATACTATTGATACTGTTACACTTAGACTATTTTTCGCAATCCTATCTATCAAGAAATTATAAGCTAATTTATTATATAACAAGAAAATCATTCGTATTTAATTATGTCAAATAAAATGCACCACAAAAAAACTAGGGATACGATTCAAGATCAGGTGAATTCTCTAAGCCTTTCGACCATACCTTCGCCCAAAAATCAATGATGATTCTTGATTCACAGAAAACAGTGAATTTCTCGTAGTTTTTCATTGAAATATTTCAAAAGCTGACAAGCGCTGTCATTGATGACTCATCCCTTCTGAAAAAGAAGTGCTTTAATAAGAAGGTGTCATTCAAATCTCATGCTTCATACATTGGTTTTTTTTCACATAAGTTATTGATTTATGTTTCAGATAAGAAACAAAGCTTGTTTATAAAATAACACAATTTAATTAGATCCATCAGTAACAATCTTACAACAAAAATATATATATATATATACAAAATCTATAGTGTTTTTTTTAGTATTGATCATAATCTAATTAATTCGTAGATGTTGATATCAGCTTTATTATCGTATATGCCTTCAATATTCGATGTGACTTGCTCAAGATTCATTACAAGTTCCAAACACCAGCCATATTTGTTAGTCAACTCTAATAATTTTTCTGGATGACCTAGCACCTTAGAAAAAGCCACAAAGACACGACCATTATCGGTTAAATGTTGGTGAGCTCCTTTCAAATATGCTTCGGAAAGTATATAGCCTGGATTGAAAACTGTACGTTCAAGTGCACTGAGTTCTTCCATTGGTTTATCAATATGACAGAAAGGTATATCCCAAAAAATAACATCGAATCGATCATTTTTATCGAATGGTTCAAACACGCTACCATAAACTGCTTGCATACGATCTCCTAAATTGTACTTTTCGATATTAGTTTGAATATTCTCTATTGCGTCTTGAGTAATATCAGTAGCCGTAACTCGATTAGCACCGTTAAGAGCAGCAAGAATAGCCAAATAACCAGCTCCAGAACCAATCTCGAGTACTGATTCAGGTTTTATTATATGAATGAGATCCAGCCACGTTTTGACTAAATGATCTGGTAGAGGAAACATTGCAGGTGAGAAAACATTCGGATATACGATGAATTCGTGTCCACCAAGTTCAATAATGTGTTTTTCATTGTAAGTAGTACCAGCAATGCCGAGCTGAGCATGAACATGACCGTCACGTACATAGTGATTTTCTTCTAATTTCATCATGGATTTTTGTTGCTATTTTCGAACGAACTGCTTCAGTTAGATGCAATAGACAAATGAAAGAATTAATCAAAGTCTTACTTATTTTAACGGCAATATGATGAGTATTTATAAGCATAAGCTATATAAAAAACCCAATGAAATAAGATAGCGTTTATGACGTTTTCGGTGATTCACGGTTAAGATTAGAAAATAACAAGAAAAAGACACACATTCGTCATGAAGACTCACTTCCTTTCAGAAAGAGAAACTTATCTACAAAAAAGTACTTTTGTATTCTGTCAGACATCGTCAAAAAATCAACACTATTGCAAAGATATGTAGAAACATCTCACTTCTAATGAAATTATCATTCGGCGATAAACACAACAAGACGCCGTCGGTAGTCAGAAGATAGTGACGGCAAGCTCAATTATGGTCTTAACGTTAGTTATGAATTGTAAATCAATTTGCAGCTTCTATAAAGTATACCAATGAAAATAAGACGAACGTCATATTTGTTCGAAACATTTTTTATCTACTATGTTGTTTTTTGCACTAGACCAAATTCTTACCAACAGCCATCAGTAGATACAAATCCCTTCATTTTTAAACAACAAAAATCACTACAACTACCAACCATCATGAAATCATCCTATGTGCAATAGCATTCATGAGGATGTTAACATTATTGATTGAATGGCTAATATGTAATTGTACTGCATATAGGGTAATTGTTGACAATTCATTTATTTCAAGTCCGACAAAGTAACAGGAGCATCCCTTTTTTCTTATGTATGAGAATTTTCATTTTCAAAATATATCTAATTTTATGAATCGATAAAAAGTTCTTCAACTGTACTAAATGTGTCAGAGTGACATACTAATATTGTCCGTATTCGCTGAAAAACGATTTATACAGAAAAAAAAATATCGACAATTACATTCTGCCAGACGGTAACTTCGCCGAAAATCAACTAGGATAGATAAGGAACGAAAATAAAACATGGTGTGAATCGAATACCCGCGATTCTATTTCACCTCCAAGAATAAACTATAGAAAGGCATAGAGCACATCAATAAAGTCACTTCATAATGGCATCCCTCTGTAGCAATTTGAGACAGTTGGGTATATTGTCGGTAATTATCAGTTACTTATAAAGTGTATTCGCTTAACAGAGTAATAATATTTTTGATTCGTATTGGATGTAGATGTGGGTGTGGGTGAGTATAGGGGTGGTTCTTGTCTACACCCATCCACACCTCACCCACACCCATACCCACCCACACCCACACACCCCACGCTCACATCCTCACTCACACCCAAACCCACACCCCATCACACCCTTTCTTTTCTGTATATAATTAACACCAAATGACTTGGAAAAGAAATTTGTTCTATAATTTCCTAGTCTAACTATTGATCATTATCATAGCTATTTAATTCTACCACAGCTATCTAAACATTTTATAGCTATTTAAACTTGCTATAGCTATTCAAAGATTTGCATAGCTATTTAATCTCTCACTTGGCTATTTAATCCTATCATAGCTATCTAAAGATTTAGCAACTATTTAAACTTGTCATAGAAAGGAAAAAAACTAAATCATACTTCGCGATTTTGAATAATAAACAAAATACTAACAGTTACATGTTTATTCCTATAAGCACAAAAAAGAATACTTCATTAACAGCACTAATAGATATTCTCCACAAATATTCATTCTACCTTACAGATTCTTCAGAGCAGGGGTTGCGAGGTGGTTGTGAGTTATTTACAAAATATCATCATCAAGTTTTGTATGACTGGTTTTCCTAAATATCTATATGATTCTACAACTATGATTTTTTAAAATTTTGTAGAAAAAAGAGCAAAGATTTAAAATGTGTAAGTTTGTGAAGTACTGATATACCACATCAAGCAATGTGAATTTGTTGAAGGCTCAGGAGTGTCTAGAAAACTAGAAGTCCATGTTGGTGAACGCAGTAGAAGTCTTTTGAAGTAATCAGATATTGAAATTTGCTGTTATACGTACTGTCAAAAATCTATATAGATATTTAAAACTTATCAGCAATTTATTTCAAACTATTGATTTTTTTGAAACACAGAAAAAAGTGAACGAAGTAAACATGATCATTTTATAGATTGATATATTATCAACTGTATAATTATCAACATTATCAACAAATATTCATCCGTAGAATATGCATGTAAAATCTTGTTTATTCGTTATTCTGTGGTCTAGATTCAGTTTTTTGACTGGAATATTATTTATAAGAGATTTACAAATATTCAAATAAACAGCGATTGTATTTAAAGCATTAGATAGGAACATTTTGTATTAACAATAGATATTCAAATACGAAGTAAATGTTTTTAACTATAGTATGACACAATCTTCCGTAACTAATGATGAATATTATTCCGGCACAATATTACTTAATTGATAGATGATGAAAAAATGTAACAATCGGTCATGTTCTGTTACTTTCTTAAACATCTGGAATAATTTCTTTTAATTCAGTCTTTCTTGTACCCTGTTGGATGTAGTTTAGGACTGCTATAGATGAAAAAAATTAGAATGTAAAACAAAGAGCTACACATCTATTTAAATAATTCAGTGTCACTGGCATTTTGTTAAAATTGCTGGCTAAGTACGAAAAAATCAACATCAAAACTTTTAAATAGCTAAGACCTTTTTAAATAGCGAAGTTTCCTTAAAAAGTGTCTCTTTCGAGAACTTTAAATAGCCAATGCCTTCTTTAAATAGCGAAATGTTTATTTAAAAAGTATTTCTTTTGAGAAGCTACGGATACAAATCAGTTTTATTCAGTATAACGATGTTAAATGAATCTAATGAATAATATTTCAGAGCCCGCATATCAACTGTAAAAATTTTCATAAGCTTGATTTATATCTTGGCTTGCTTTTAAATAAATTATTTTAATCTCTCTCACAATATACCACAAATTTAGAACAGTCAGAGTTTTTTAGTTCAACACATTGGCTCCTCACGCGGATCCACTGATAAGTTTTTTTAAAGAATTTTTTTTCATATGATTCATTCAGAAACTCTCCTCTCTAGAGATCGATCATCCAATTTTGAAGGTGGGTGCGGGTGTGGATGTGGATTGTACATCTCCAATAACCCATACCTATTCGCACCCACACCCAATTTGTAATAGATAGTGCTCAGTGAAATATTTGTTTCACGCTGAATAAGAGAAGCAGATTATATGTCCTTGTTCCAATAACACAAAACTGAAAGATGATGATTTTTAAGTTCCTAGTCGACGGCATAATTGAATAAATATGTATCGAAAAGGAAAGAAATCACACTTCTATATATACAACGTGTAGTATATCTGTCGAGGATTTAGCCCTCAAAGAATGACTTTCGTAGTTACTTATAATAGTAGAGAAAAAGGTGTTAAGAAAAAAAAATTTTTTCCAAGTTTTTTTTTGCAAACACCTGTATTTATAATCTATGAACTTCGAATAAAGACGTCTTGTACTTTCTGTTGGTTTTAATGGAAACAATATCAACACTTTATTTGTAAAAATGAACAAAAGCCTGTCTTTTTCCCTTCACATAATATTAAATTTTCAGAAATGGTCGAAATTCATGCAGTACTTATTATAATAGATAAATGCTAATAAAATTCTACAAACTCACTGTTTGAGAAAATAATTTATGTACAAAAAAATTGAATGAGAAAAATTCTGTTGCTCTTATATACCTATATTGATAATACCTTACAATTTGAATAACTCGTTCCAGACGTACCAGCAGCAACTCATATTTTTAATTTAATTGAATGATTTTCGTGGAGAATGGTAATTTGATCCGAACATTATTAACTGACATAACAAATTCTTGCATTATAAATGGTTTTTTTTCTCAAATGAAAACTAATGAAGCATATTTTTTACTTTGGCTTGATATGTCAATAAATAATTTTGAAAAAAATCTTCAAGGTCAACAACAATTTCGAATATTAATCAATCATTATCTAGAGATGAATGAATCTTCTTTTTGTTATTTCATTCTTCTTGTATTATTCGCATAGACACTTATTACAATAGATCTATCTGATAACAAAACAGATGTCTATAGAAACATACTCATTAAAGCAATACCTGAAATGGACACGAGATTAATATGGAACACCTAGCAGTTCTAATGGCAAAGCGAGAGGCACACAAAAGCAATATAACTTTTATTCAACAAATTAGTTCTTAGTTTTGTATTGAACAATTTACAGGATAATTATTTCTAAGCTACGGATTGTTTTAGATGTCTTTTTCATTATAATATAATATCTAAATTGTGCTATTTCTTTGTATTTGTGGGCGTGGATGTGGGTGTGAGGTGCGAGATGTTAAAAAGAAGATCCACATCCACCCACACTTACTCCTTGCATTCACATCCCACATCCTCTACTAGTTTCTGTTGAATTTATTATAGAAATATTCAGCACATTTTTACGCGTATGTTTGTCAATAGCGTAACTCGAAACGTTTTCCGTTTGAAAAACACCATTAGTGTGTAAAAAGAAAAGATTACCGATTTTGTAGGAAGACGCACCGTTTGATGCATCTTTCTGCAAAGTGAAAAACGGTCTTTTTTCTGTAAAGCTCTCTATAACCAGAAATAATTTGATTGATATGGTTCGATAGCGAAGTGCAGATGAGTCTTGAATATTTTATCACTTGAGCTAATCTAACAAGAAACATTGATTAAACATAAGTCAAAATTTAGTTTAGAAAGAAGCGATTCGCGCTTAGCGGCTGAACTAATTATGACACTTTCGCCAATTCAAGAGAATTTTTTGTTGCTTTAATCATGTGTCGTCCGATAAAATGTCCATAGAAAACTCTGATTGTTGCTTTTCATGTACAAGTGCGATCTTATGACTAATAAGATTTTTCACAAAGAAAGAATATCGTTTATGCAGCTCCTGTAGCATAAGTGGAAATGCATCCGGCAGTTAATCAGAACACAGATGGTTTAGTTTCGTTCATCAAATGCGATTCTCGATCCGTTCTATTTTTCATTAATAAGTTAAATATATTAATATATTGGAACAAATATTTGGAACCCAATCAGGGACTATGATCTTTCATTTTCTTTTTGTCTTATATCTGTTTATCGAAATTTCTTCAGATGATTCAATGTTGGAAAAAAAGAGAAAAAATATTTCAAATAATTGCGTCATTTTTCATTCTTAGGACACAAGATTTCGTAATCTAATATGAATGAAGTCATTGTACAAAAATGAGACTAGCTTCCGAATAGATTTCAAGAACTTATTTACCAATGATGAGCAACAGTTGGCCCTATTTGACGATGAATTTTATCATTTTTAAGCAATCATGATTGATGAACGATACAAAACTATCTATCTTCCAGTTAGAAGCAGGATTCGTTTCTAATTACGTGACAAGAGCACGATCAAGTAATTAAATAATTATATCAAAAACATCTTTGAAGTATCCATCAAGATGAAATAAGGATATGGGGAGAAGTAAGAACCTCACTTACCTACATCCTCAAGCTGTAGAGAATTCAAGGGCTTGTGCTAAGTCTTCTTTTATGTTGAAATATCACTCATAAATCTATTCACTCATGTTTTAAGAAATAGTTTTGAGAAGAATTTGCAGCTTGCTTCGAGTTTACAATACATTCTCACATTGAAACTGAAATGAAAGAAACTCAAAACTTTTATTTTATATTTGTAGTGTAAGAAAAAGAAAGACAAATCCTTCTCTTACATCCTTAAAATCATTGTTCGAACCACAAAATTGCATACTATCTAAGCGATTATCGAATGAATGAAACAATCCCATTTTCGTTTTGATTTTGAAGACTCAAAATCAAATATACCAAAAGATATGCCATGATTAGAGCTGCAACATTTCTGAAGTTTAGATTATTATATTATACTTTGCCAATACTTTCTTCCATGATACCAAAATTCATGAGTGAGAAAATGTATTATTATTTTTCTATGATTTAATCTAATTCTTATAAAAAGTGGCATTTTAAAAAGCAATATAAATAGTCTATTTTGTAGAGAAAAGAAATCTCTACAATCTGAAATGTATCGTGCCCTTCAAGCAACCAAAAGAAACAGAAAATGACAAAATACGACCAGAATCGGAAAAGCCAATTTTTTCACGATGAATCGAATATTTGAAGAATTCCAGTTCTCGCTATTTTCTGTAACTAAGCTAGAATGAACTAGTACTTCGATTGTCACAACAAGTTTTTCGATGATTTCGAATGCCAAAATCAAGTTCAAAACCTATTATTTTTGCCGCAGTCCACACGATTGCCTCGAAATCTAATTTTTCAGCATTGAAGATACATTTCCATCGATTTTAGTCTACTATAATTCATGAATAAAACTTTATCAATAAAACTGTTTTTTCTTAAATCAATTAAGAAAGATAAAAATTAAATGAAATACATCGATGCAAAGTGTGGGTGTCCGGTAGGGTAGAACATTCGCACTCACGTCCACTAATTGTCACTTGCTGGCAGTTTGACCTTATCAACAACTAATTTTTTCTGTTCTGATTCTGATATTATAAATAATGCTTTTTTTTCGAAAAAACGAACAATCACTAAGTTGAACAACAAAATTCATAGGAATTTTAGGTGCAGAAAAAAACTGATGAATATTTTTAACAATTAGTTCAGTAAGCTTTATGCAATTTTCCATGTTATGCATACAGTGATGTCTAATGTTACGAATTTATATAACAATAGCATATTATTCTTTTAGAATTAGTTTTTTTTTTCGGATTGATTTAAGTAAAATCGAAGTTTCAACCAATCGATAGACATATTATCAAAAGAAAACTTGTTATTGCAACTCTTTGAAGAACTCAAATATGAAACTCACACACTGTGACCATTATGGAATTTATGATTCATTGTCAGAGGTTGTCAAATAATTTGTTTAAAAAAAAAACGCCAGATAAATAAATAAATCACAATTATAACAATTTTTATAGTTGATACGCACTCTCTGAAATGTTATCATTTCGAAAATTCTATCAATTTATTTGATTCAATTAGCATTGCTATATTGGAAAAAATTTATTTCAATTATCAGATACATATAATATTGAGTTTTTCTTATTCATTCAGTTTATACTTTTTTATGTTTGTCCTATAGTAATACTGCTAGATTACAAAAAAATATCACCCGTTTGATTGACATTTACAATAAGATCATTTCGCTGCATTGAAAACTCATACTCGCAGTATTGATACTACGTAGTAGTTGGAATCTACAGAGTTTTAGAATGATCTTCGAATTGATATCACTTACGCGTTATTTGCCGTTCCCAGAGTCTAGAAGGGGGAGTCGAAAAAACCTCGATTTAAACTTTTCTTTATTATTATTTTATTCGAAAATATACGTAAATTCCGCAAAAGTATCAATATGCTAGTGATGTTCGAAAAAGACATAGTTACGAAGAGATGATCTAATAATTATATTGTTGAAATGACTACTACAATTAGGGAATGTGAATTTCTTGTTTATTTAGAATTACATAATCTTCATAATATTATTCATGCACCTGCTTATTGTACCGATAATGATACAGGCTCCTCATCAATCAACATCAATATATGTTCTGTCTTCTCTCTCTCTCTCCTGCTGTTCTTTATCATTCACAATTATGTACAAATTGTACATTAGAGATTATCATCTTCTTTCTTATATTGGAACTCTTTTTTATCGCGTCGGGTGTGTATTTTTCCATGTAGTCACGTATCTGTTTATACGATGCTTTCTCTCGCTTTGTTCTGTTAATTTGACATGTTCTCGCTACGGAAGAATGAACGTATAAAAAGAAGAAGACTAGTTGTTAGATGATAAAACATTTGATTATTACATTTATTTTGAAAATAGTTGAAATTAAGATTTTTCAGAACGACTAGATTTAACTAATGTATTAATTGATAATCAATTCAACATTTTGGCAATTGATATGATTCAAAATGTTGTTACAGATATCTGATGCAATAAGTTCTATGTTGAGTAAAAAAAAAGTAGCATATGATGATTTAGATTTTTAAAATGTACTTGTTTTTCGAGGAGATTCATCTGAATCAAAAAATGATTTAGTTAAAAGAATTGATTTCAGCGTTGCACGTCGTTGAAGTAAAAGATTTCTGTCGAATTCAATTTATTTACCTTTATTTGGCAACCTGTTAAATGTAAATTTTTATTTGATTTTCTCATTTCTTTCAACACTAATAAAACTTTATCAAAGAGAAAATTGTGTACTGCTTAGAGCTACATACAGTATTTTAAAGTATTTCATGAACTTAAATATAGCGAAAATTTCATTAAATGTTTGAGCAATTATTTTTTCAGAGCATCAGCAAACTATTATCATAAACTTGATGTTTATGTAAAAATAAAAGGTTTGTTGGATGATTGATTTCCTTCAATTTATGAAACAGAACAGATATCCGGAGACAAATCATTCATTGTCGAATACGGATGTGTTTTGGTACGAATTAGTCTACATGTCAATCACATCTGCACTCATATCTTTTTCATGCGAACCACAAGGCAAAAAAAAGATTACATTTTTTTCGAATAGAGAAATACATAAGACTATGAAACAATTGCATCATTGTTGATGATATCCAATCACATATTTTTTTTTATTGTAAGGAATGGTGAAAAATAGATAAGAATGAGAAAAAAAAAAGAAATTTTAACATCGAATATGTAGCATTCTCTTGTAATCTCTTTATTTTTCTTATTCATATTAGACATCAATCGTTCTTCAATATTTTCTTTGCTTTTTTCAGTATATCGTGATGACAATGCTACTAACCGAATTACTTGGAGAAGTATTACTTCTATTTCAAGAAGATAAGAAACAATGGGTCGAAATATTAACGAAACAACTCGACGGAAAGATTATTGCACTCTATTTTTCGTAAATTAATTCTGTTTTTGATTTGAAAGACACAAAAAAAAAGAATCAATTTATAATTTAAGGTCTCATCAGTGGTCATATTGTCAAGAATTTACTGTGAAATTGGCTCGAGTTTACAAAAATCTTTATTGTGAAATCAATGAAAAATTTGACATTATTTTTATTTCTCGAGACAAATGTGAAACTGAGTTTGATGAAAGCATCAAAGAGATGCCATGGAAAGTATTACCATTTCAAGGTATGATTCTAAATTGATGAATAACTTTGTAGAGACGAAATCTTTCATTTAGATCGAAAACGTTCAGAAGCACTTTGCAAATATTTCAAAGTCCATGGCAGTCCAAACATAATTGTTTTGTCGTCATCTGGTGAAGTGATTACATCCGATGGTTCTCTAGAATTTGCTATTAAATATGATCTCGTTCTATGTCTATGGCCTCAAGGAAAATCTCTTTTTTATTCATGTCAACTACGACCAGATGAATTTCAATGGAATCGCGTCCATTGCGATCAATGTTATATGCGTCCTTTAGTCGGTATTCGTTATGGATGTATAAATCGTCAATGTCCTTTTAATTTTTGTAAAAAATGTACTGATACAATCAAACATGAACATCCACTGGTTGAATATCTTATTCCAAAACGACAATACTCAATGAATGAATTCTTTGCATTTGTACCTTATTTACTCAGTTCAAATAAACAAGAACAAATCAAGACGGAAATTCTTTGGAAAGGCGAGGCTAAAGCTATTGGATTTTACTTTTTGACTTATCGTTATTCATTTAATTGTAATTTGACACAGAAATTAATCCAATATTATAAAGCCACGCAATCCACAATAAATTCATTTCCAATAGTGATCATTACATACGATATAGATCAACAATTACCTGTTGAATATTGGTCAGATATTCCATGGCTCATAATTCCATCCGATTATTATCGTTTATTCTATGCATATTTCACACCTCACGGTTAGTTTCTATTTCGATAATTCAGATTTATCTTGCTTTTTTTCTTAGAATGTCCGGCATTGATTGTCATGTCGATCGATGGAAAAGTATTGACACATATTGGCCATCATGATATATTACGGCAAGGTTCAGAAGCTATTCGATGTTGGTCTCGTGGTGAAAAAGTAACTGTTTTTACACCGAACGATTATGTATGGCAACATGTTAGTTGTAATATATGTAATATGATACCACTGATTGGAAAACGATATCATTGTTCAACATGTGAAGATTACGATCTCTTTTTTGCATGTCAATCGAAAGGACACGAACATTTACTTGAACTAATGTAGATGCGTGTAATGAATTTGTTTTCGCTTACTCATATATAGTTGAATAGAACTCCTTGAACGTAGTGAGACTATCTATGTAATTAGTTTTGGTCTTTTTCAAACTTTTCTTTTTGTTCGAAATTCAATAAATAAGAGAATTCTTTAATACGATATATCGCATTCAACACAAACTATTTTCTCTAGACTCAAAAATAAAAATTGGATATCTGTCGTATATGCTAAGCTCGAATTTGATTTTTATTGTCTCGTTCAGAATTTTGGATTGAGTCACAGCAGAGTCGATATTTAAAAATCTGGTTCATAAACTATTTGTCAAGCATCTAACGTATGCATCGCTTGTACCGATATTTTGTTTCATTAATGATAAAAATACACATTTCTCATTTATTAGCAGATGAAAATTCGCACAGTAAAGCAAATCTATTCTAAAAGTCCAGCAAGAGCCCATTTTCTCCACTCAAGAACTACCGAATGAAAAAAACAAGGTACGATTGTTTTTGTTCAATCGAAGATAACTGATATGGTTAGTCTTTGATAGCACAATAAATCTTCATCGTCACTATTTGATTGATCCTATTCCTGAATTCTATTTCAAAGCCTAGCAGTTCTTCAATGGTAATCTAATAAAACTCCTCCAATTCGAACGAACTTTTTATTTGTCCTATAATAAGGTTGTGCCACGAAGATGACAATAGAAAAATCCAAAATCATTTCGAGAGCAATGTGGACATTTACAGTAAATGTGGGTGTGGAGTGTGGCTGTGGCTGTGAGTGTGGCTCTTCTCTTTAACTACGCCCACATCCTAATTAAAAGTTAATATGAAGATACAATGTGCGAATATGCTGTTTGCATCTTTTTGATAAATGTTTAAGCAACATTAAATAATAGGTTATTACAAGTCTCATTAGTCCCATTTTCTAGCTCACGTCATCACCGTGGATTCATGCTTGTAGCCTTGTGCCTAATAATATTCAACAACATTTCAATGGCATCAAAATTCGAAATTTTACCTGGCCATTGGCATTATTCTATATTCTATTGTTCACACCATTGTCTAAATTGTAACCTGTCATTAAATGTTGTTCAAGCATGTATCGAAACGACGAAGACAGTATATTCACACATTGTATCTTCATAATAAGCGTTTAGTAGTATTTTGCACAGCTACACTTTAATTATTCAAATATATCCAAGAGATTAGAGGGCTGCGCGAATACAAGTACAAATTGTACTCTGCCCAGAATACAGCACCCTACCATAGATTCCAAAAAATTTCGATAGCTATGTACTCCCATTCTGCTATCATGACCTACGAAAAAACCTGGAGTTTCAAGGATTTCTACTATCATGTACTTCCATGTATCCCTATCTACTGGGAAAAAAACCTAGAATTTGCAGAACTCGTACTGTCATGTACTCTCATGTACTCAGGAAAAACCTAGAATTTGTACTCTCATGTACTCTCATGTGTTGTGAGACGGTACATGAGAGTACATGACAGTACAAATTCTGCAAATTCTAGGTTTTGAGGGTCATAATCTTTCCAGAGTACAAATTATACTTGTATTCGCGCATCTCTGAGAGATTGCTTTTTTGATTGAGCTTGTTTTTTTTCAACAGAGTGTAAATCAGAAATAACGTTGCTAAGAGTTTTTACGTATCTCTTTTGGTCACTTTTAGTTCTTGAAGAAAAAGCCATTCAACTGTATGAAATTTTGTCAAAAACAGTGCAGTTAACGTGAGAATGTTCGATGAAAACATTTAAGCATGTATGTCTCTATATTCGACAATCTATATATAATGAAAGCTTCGTGCGGTCAATCCTTTATGCCTCATGATGTAGAAACAGTTCACGAAAAAAAGGAACTGAATACTCTAAAAGACTATAAAACAAATTCAAAGATGTCAGAATAAGGTGATGTTGTATTGAAGAAGCATCGTTGTTTCTCATGATTCTGTGGTGACCTTCAAATGATTTGGGAACAATTAGCTACAACCAACAAGCTATATCATTTTTCTCTTATCTTTATGTTTGCCATGTCCCTTTTCTTTTGTGCAACAAAAAAATAACAACACACAATTTACAGGGAAAGTCGCGAGAAAGACGCCATTATCATGATATATAAACGAAGATAAAGCTTCTTTTTTTTCTCTTTCTTGCATAGAAAAACGAAAGAAAGACGAATATGTAAAGAACTGTGATAAATAAATGCATTTCAGTGTTCTAATATTCTACACAAAATATGTCCAACGATATTTTTACACTATTTCAATTTTTTCTTCTGTGTTTTACAAGTTTACTGATTCACATGGGTACCTCTAATCCCAATGTTAGTTCTACCAATGATTACGTTCCATATGAAGGCATTGGTTCATCATTTCTAGTGTTTATTGCACCAAAAATTGGCAAGCCTCTCATATGGACTTTAACATTATATCAAGCGTTATATTTATTCCTTCAAGTTTTTTCACCAACCTCCATTTCAACATTTTTTCCACAAATATCGACATCAATTGATCCCTTACCATTTAATCCAATATCAGTGATCGGGTATATCCTTATAATCGTGGGTGGTTTGGGAAGAATTTGGTGTTATAGAACATTAGGAGCATTTTTTACCTTTGAATTAACTATTCGAAGTACACATAAATTAATCAAGACTGGTCCATATGCTTATGTACGGCATCCATCGTACATATTTATATACGTCTTAATATGCGGAATATTACTAGTTCACCAACGATTGACAAATTTTTTTCCTAATCAAACATGGTTACAAGTTCTGTTTAGTCCAATTGGAACTTTAATGTTTTACTTGTTCTTAACGTTGATTATCACAAGGCGTGTCAAAATGGAGGAAGAGGAATTAGCAAAGAAATTTGGTAGTGAATGGACTCAATATGCATCGAAAACGAAAAGATTTATACCGAAAATTATCTAATACAAATACAATCGTAGTTTTGGACAAAAGTCCTTATCTCACTTGAGCTTTATTCATATTTCAAACTTTGAATAATTGTACACAGTGACAAATATTGATTGTAGATAACAACAATTCGACATCAATTCAACGTAATCTGACAGAGTTATACACAAAACACTATCATTATCATAAACTACTTCTATCTAAGTCATAGAAATACTGTGAATTCAGAGAAATCCATCATTCGAAAGCCTGATTCAGTAGATACTATCGTGTCAAGGATTGCTTACGAAATCTCAATGATGGTGATTTTCATAATTACAAATTGCAAATCATTATCATCGATATTTGGTTGGTGTCTCTTGACGTTGTAGTATCTCAGGAATCAGGCTTTCGAATAATTGGTTACACGGACTCCAAAGTGTTTATGGGATTGAGGTAGGAGTAGGGATGCAACGGTGACGATAACCGTAGGTAGTTATCGGTTCAAACCCGTTGTCAACAGAAACAGCATTTTTTAAGAAAATAACGATATTTTATAAAGGTTGACGAAAGTAAATCGGGGTCGAGGAATCCGAATCTGAAGTCAGCTTTTGAAAATTTTGAATTGAATTTTTTCGACAAAAGAAAGAGTTTTTTACAAAAATAATGATATTTTATAAAGGTTGACGAAAAGTAAGTCAAGGTCGAAGAATCTGAATCTGGAGTCGATTTTTGAAAATTTCGAATTAAATTTTTTCAACAAAGAAAAGAATGTGAGTGTGGGTGTGGGTGTGGGTGTGGTTGTGGATGCGGGTGTGGGTGTGGGTGTGGGTGTGGGTGTGGGTGTGGGTGTGGGTGTGGGTGTGGGTGTGCGATATGGATGTGTTGCTGAAGAACAGAATCACACCCAAACCTCACGCCCACACCCTTTCTCGTTGCTGTTTGGTCAGAGATCTACTACCTTCTGAGCAAGTTGAATATGCTTCGTCTTACAGTCTCATGTTGGTTTTTTCCAACTTTCCTCGCTTGAATGATTCTAGACATGGCCGATACTAACTTGTCAATTATAAGTAATAATGATCGATAGTAATCATTTATTCTTGTAACTTATTTTGAGAAATGATAAAAAGCAGCGACGAAATCATTCATGCATGTTATAGGTAGAGAGGAAGTAATATTTACGTTCGGGCAGGCGAAAACACAACACTGCATTCAAAAACAAACGACACACTGTTATTCACTTGCGTTCCTCATTTCGCAGCAAAGAACGACACATTCAAGTTCGACGGATTGTTATCTATTGGCAAAAAGCATTTAAAATATTCAGATTTAACAATTGCAACGAATAGAAACAAGAGTAAGTGTTCCTAATTCATTTTTTGAAATGAGATACAGAAATAATCACGGTGTTTGTTCTTCAATACTCTTGCGAGCGTCTCACAATGTTGTAGAAGTTTGCTGGTATTTGTAAAAAGATAAAGCACACTGTTGAATGTCTAACGTTCAGAGTTTCTAATAGGAATCTGAAACAGAGTACACATCAATGGTTTATTGTCAATGATACAGTACCTGTGGGTACTTTACTCTACACACCCACACCCACACCTCACACCCACGCAGCAATCCACACCCATATCTCACATCCCACACCCACACGCACACTCCACCCTCATTTCTGCTCGTTGTTTGGTTGTATTTTTCTTCTGAGTTAGTTTATTTTCAACATTGAAAAATAGTTATTTCCAATTTCTTTTAATTGTCTATCAAGAAATCAAACTCGTGAAATAGTTATACATCAGAGATACTACCGGGTGGCCCAAAAGTAATGAAAAATAATGGGTATCTAATAATAACCGATGAAAAACTGTTAATGATATTTTTCATACTTTTTATTGATGTAGAGAGCTAAAACTTTCAGAAATAAAAGGTGTTAATTATATATATATGTAATAAAAATTTCAGCTCTTTACAGGAATAAAAAGTATGAAAAATACCATTAACAGTTTTTCATCAGTTATTATTAGATACCCATTATTTTTCATTACTTTTGGGCCACTTGGTATATCGTTTTGCTCATAGGTATAAACAAAGAA